TAAGTATTTATATGCCAGTTTATTTTGTACGCATAATATAATAAATTACAAAATATGAAAATCAGAATAATTGTTCAGAGTTAACAAATTTTATAAAGTATAATATATTAATATAAAACCCGGCCAAAGGCCGAGCAAAAGCGAACCGATGGCCCGCAAATTGGGGGGTATGGGCGGCGAAGTCCCCCATAAAATTTTTTTTAGTTGAGCCCCCTGAGATTGTAAAGGCTAGCGATGCCCCTGCTGGGTGGTCTAGTGGTGCATGCTGTATGCTTGGAAACCGAAGGTCCCAGGATCAATCCTGGTAAGAAACTAAAATTTCAGGTTTTTTTTCGATGACGGATGTGTATAGACATATGATAAGATAAATTTCTGAGCTTAGAAATGCCACCACGGTCACCGACAGGCTTGTGCTAGGATACTTATCCAATAAACCAAATAAGATGGCCAGCTGAACTCGTGGGTCACTTAAGGATGATACCATTATCTTGGCCAGCGCTAGGATAATGGTGACCTAGGGGGCAGTTCAAGCACAATTTTACCAAGTAACAGGGACTTGATAACGATACTTCGGTGGGAGAAATATTCCGGTGGGTTATTTATCGATATTATACTTCGGTTTGAAATCAAGATACAATGGCTTCGATAGCGATACTCCGGTGGGCGATCTAAATGGAATGGATAAGAATACAGAAATATAAATGAAATAAAATAGATAGCATGAGTAATAAAGTGGAGAGATAATGAAGAAGCTTACCACCAGATAGGGTGAAAAAAGAAAGAAAAAATAAATAACTGGAAAGACAATTTTGTTGTCCAAAATAAAATGAACATCCAATCTTAGTTAAGATAACGTGAATAACATTGTTCATGATTAATATAAATAAATGTTTATCTAAGTCAATCATACTTATATTATTATTTTTAATATGCATATAGAATCAATGATTAGGATAATTAAAGTCAATATTCTTCAAAGAGTATAATTGTTCAATGCTATTTCTCCTACAGAAACCATTATTAAAATTTTTGAACAATATTTAAAGATTCTAAAATGCATTGGTAGAAATTATAACCAAAGAGATATCTATTATTCCGACAAAAATTAAATTTTTCACATGATGTTATAAAATTATTAAATAATGTACATCACATATCTACTAAAGATTATACATATAATCTCCACTCCATGTTAAATACGTTAAATAGATTTTTATCTTTATTTGTATTTACTTTATATTTTTTTATTTATTTATACATTTCAATAAATATATTTCAAAAATTAAATTTATTGCAAAAAAAGGTACTTCATTTATTGTAATGTATATAAGATTATTTTTTTAAAGCGAAATTTGAACTTTTAATGAACTATTAGGTTAGTGAGAATTTGGATTTTTTTAGTCATTCAAATTTATAGCTTAATCTTAATACCTATTTTGGGTTTTTTAAAAATATTAATATTTCCAAGTTAAATTTCTTAAAATAATGGATCAGAAGAAATTTAATCTTTGTATATCTAATATATAAACAATATAATATAAGTCTAAATTAATATTATGAAGTATGAAAATGTACTAAAAACATTTTACTCATCTTATATTTTGATTTCAATAAAATTTTATCCATTATAAGAGAAATCAAAGCAACTAGTAATTTTACTTTATAATAAAAATTTTAAGATAAATTTTAAAAGTTTTGTCTTATAAATAAAAGCTAATAAAGGCGCGTACGCAGGAATTTGATCGGGGGGGGGGGGAATAATAATTTTTTTTAAGAAATATTATTGTTTTTTAAAAATATCAAGCATAAATTTATTAGGACTAATAAATATTCCTAATACACAATTTTAAATTAATGTGAATTATAAAGAAAATATATGTAAAGAATCACTTATAAATGACCCAAAATAGAAATTTGAATTTTTTGAGCTTTTACACAAAATGTTTCTTAGGAATAATTGTATTTTGTATGTTATATATTTACAATGTAAAATCCAATCTTCGTTGGGATTGAGCTAATTTTTCAATTATCTCATCCTTGCTTGTCGTCAAATGCCTATTTTCAATCTACTTTCAGATGTTGTACTTCTTGGTATGTTTTTCAGAGACCTGCAGGCCCGGCCCCTGTATTTTAATTTTTTTAAATATACCCGGGCCGGGCCAGAAATTTTTTTTAAAAAACACCCGGGCCTGAATTATTTTTAAAAAAACACCCAGGCCGGGCTGTATTTTTTAAAACAGCCTATATTTGAAATCGTTATTATTAGCTATAAAAATCAAAAATAAATATAATTTTTTTTAAAAAATCCGGGCCGGGGTTGAAAATTTTTAAAAAAAAACCCAGGCCAGGCCGTAAAAAATCTTTAAAAAATATTCGGGCCGTGCCCTGCAAATGGTACTTCTGCAGGCCTCTGTTATTCTTCTTAAAAAAGAGAATGTTCTCTCATTAGTTTACTAATGGGAAGAGTTTATAAACCCTTTTAATACATTGGGAATTTGATCTAAAATGTGTTTGAAATAATGCAGAGCATCCATAGCATTTTTTGGGACTATATCAACCATAGTTAATCTTATAAACATAGTTATTCAGCTAGTAAGACATTTCATAATAAAAATCTAACAAATATTTTTTTTTCTATCACCATCTGAAAAAGGTTGGGAAGGCTTTTGTGGAAGTAATATTTGCAAATGTAAGTGCTGCATGATGAATTAAAAATTGATTTATTTGGGTTATAAATGTATCTGTATCTAAGATATACTCTTCTACTGATCCTATATTAACGTTTTAACGATGATCATGCCTTGCTACAAGTCGAGGGAAACAAATATTAAACACGTATAGCTCTGCTTTTGACTCAACAATAAAATATAAAATATGAAATTCTTCATCAACATTAGCCCTAATTTCCTTGAGTTCTGATAAAATGCTCTCCGCTATTCTCATCTTCTTAATCAAGTCAATGTCATGTTTTTGAAAAGTAATATTTAAAATAGTTGTATAATTAAATAATACATTCTAATGAGAAATAAAATTTGGAATAAGCATTGAATCCAATAATTTTCTTGCTTATGAGGAAATATTTCTTTCAGACCATTGTGATATTTCAGTAATAGCAAATAATTGGCTCTTCTAACTCCTTAAAAGCTGTTACTGCTTGATGGCAGAGACTCTATCTCGTTGGACAAGGTTGCAATTTCTTTTTCCCTGTTGGACCAGAAGTTTCAGAAATAATTATTATTTGACTAGAAATTTGAAATGGTAGATAAATATTACGCCACTAAAAATTTGAAAATATTAAGTAAATATTACGCCGGAAAACTTGAAATCGAAATTAATTGATAAAATAACTTATGAATGTGATAATAAATGCAATTAAATATACATTTAATATGAGATACGAATAAATATTAACAAATATAAATTAATATAAACAATAATATTTTTGAAAAATATATCCGGCATTTGAATGCCCCCCTCCCCCCCCCCCCCCCGCTGCGTACGCCGATGAGCTAATATATGCCCTTGGTAATTTTATTTAACATATATATAAAATATTTTAACAATCGTTAGAATTTCATTTTAGCAGTTTTCTTCCTTAAATTATATACAAATCAATCACTTATAAATCAATCAGAAGAACACTTTTTTTTAAAATATTTAAAAATAAATAAGCAATGCAAAATATGATATAGTTAATATAAAAAATTTAAAAAATTATAATGAAATGTAAGTTTTTCCACAAAATACAATAACTTTTACAAATTTACCATATATAATAAAACATGCTCAAGTAATTACAAGTTAAGGGACATTATATTATAATTAAAGCAAAATTAAGAGGATAATGAGTTAATAAGACAATGGAAATACAATTTGATGTCTTTGATTACAAGTCTTTGACAAAGATAAAATCCTTCTTTAGGATACTATTTTGACTGAAATTGCGGGTCAATTTTTTGATTAGATCTTGAGCTTGAGGACCAAATGTGATGATCACGACTGATATAAAATGATATTAATAAGAGATGTTCACGTATTTATCATATTTTAATTTTTCTGTAGCTACTAAATCTTTGTTTAGGTATGATGGAGCCTTACTTTTTTAATATAAATGTTAGTTATAATCAAAATTTAAAAAAATTAATTTTCATATTATGTCTATAAATGATGCTTGTTGTGTCGTGTCATTGAGAGTTATAAATGATTATAATAAACTAAACCTATTTTATATAAAGTGAAAAACGATCAATTAATAGAAAATTTTGCCCTTCTTGTTCCTTAAATGAATGCTATAAAAAATACTAGTAATTTACATTAAATCAAAATTAAAAACAATTCTAATAAATTTACATCAATAATTTTTTAGTTTATTTATAAACCCTTGCTAATGAATCGTGAAAATTAAAAAAAAAACTAGGGCTAAGCACTAGAACGGTCTTCGGTAGGGGGGAGTGTAGCTTTCACAAATAGCGCGGAATCAGAAATTCCTATGAATCACAAATAATGGCGAGTAACAAATGGCGATGGATCACAAATCATGAGATATCCGATTTTAAATTAGAATATAATATATGTATGGGGCTGATCAGCAGGATTGAAGGGGAATAATGTTAGGAGTGACGAAAGGGTCAAAAAAAGATAGGATTCAGAATATATATAATTTTATTTAAATTATAAAAATATAATACTAGGTATTTAGCGAATTATACAAAATGATCAGCATAGATAATGATGTGTTCTGAAAAATTGAACATAATATTGGGAGAAATTGTGATGATCATTTTTATTTTATTTAAGAAACAATTTTATTTTTCACTGAAAATACAAATCAAATTCAATCGTTTTATAATGAAATTTGTAACGAATATAATGTCATTCACAATTAGAATTAGTGTAGTTCAAAAAAAAAGAAAAACAATTTAAATTTTGAATGTCATTACTAAAACAAAAACAAGTAAAAAAAAGAAAAACAACTTAAATTTTGAATGTCATTACCAAAACAAAACAAGTAGTTTACAGGAGAATTATAAATAAAAAAAAACAATTACAACTACTTAACATTTCCCACTTTTTTTAAAGTTTTCGCCCTCTGTCTATAATCTTATCGTTTGTCTTGCTTACCGGGTTTTTCATCATTTATTGTTCGTTTGTTCTTTGTTGATCTGATAGTTATCGTTAGTCATCGAACATTTCATTAGTTTTGATCTACAAAAAAAAATTTTGTTTATATAATATAAGCTATTGAAAGTTATTTTAAATTTAAAAATTCCTTATTAAAAAAAATATTTTATTATTTATTATATATCTTTTTTATATTAATTTATTTCTGATTGGTCTTTGACTGTTAAGACTCTGATCTTGTATTTGTATACTTTGATATCGTACTGGTTCATCATTACTTCTTCCCCTTCTAAAATTTAAAGTACAAGGTATTGTATTATTAAAGTTTGTTATGAAATCTGTTGTACCATTATTAAGAGGTATAATATTCGTTGACCCTTTTTTAATCTGGTTTAAGTGACTTTTTATAATTTTGTTTCCAGTATTTATTTCATACGATAAATTTCCATCTTTACGTGTTACCGTACCTTTGTCCCAAATGTTTTCCTTGATAGTTTTATACCAAACTTTGTCACCCATCACGATATTTCTATTTGACTATATATTTCGATAAAATTCATTCTTTTATCTTCTTGTGGTATAATTAAATCCCATCTGTCTTATATTTCTGGAACATCACCTCGCTTGGTATCTTGTTGGTTGTTGCGTTTGGTGTGTTACGATAATTAAATAAAAACTTTTCTAATGCTATATCTAAGTCTATTTTATTATTATTTTCCATATTTTTTATGCTCATTTTCACTGATCTTATCATTCGCTCACACACTGACCATTAAACTGTTGGGAGTGAGGTTCGGTAAATATGTGTTCAATTCCATGATCTTCGCAAAATTTATTGAATAAGTTATGTAAAGTTAGTTCCATTATCACTGACCATATTTTCAGGTATATCAAATAAGCTGATTATTTTCATCAATTCTTTAATTGTTAAGTGGTTATGTTTCTCATTCTTCTAATAGTAGGGAATTTGCTAAATGGTCAACACATACCATAAAATTGCTATCTTCAAAACTAATGATTTCGTTTTCCCAGCACCTAGATGCCCTTTATGCAACTCTTGCAAAATCTCATTTCTCATATTTTGTGATAATCCTATTTTCTTTAAAAAGACAATCTTTAATTAAGCTCAGTTCCAACTCCATATTATATATTTTATTCTTTATCTGTTCATGATTCTTTATATTGTTAATTGCGTCCATTAATTCTTTATCAATACTAGTTTCTTTAACTATTCTTTTAAAATTTATTGGTATGTTCAATAATTTGTCATCAATTATTTCACCATCTATCTTTTATACCATCTCTTCTGTATTCGTTTGTGGTAATCCTGACAAACAATCTATTACTAGATTTTGTTTCCCGGGCCTATGAATTATCGTATAGTCATGAGCTCCCATAAACAAACTCCATTTTTGGAGTCGCATTGATATGGAAGAATTGTCCTTGAGTCCCTTCGTAAATATATAAACGAGCAGCTTATAGTCTGTGATTATTGTAAATCTCGTACCAATTAGATATTCTTGAACCTCCTTAACCGCGTATATTACAGACAAAGCTTCTTTTTCAATATTTGTATAATTTAAATCTGATTTTAATAATGCTCTTGACGCGAAACCTATGAGTTTCTCTTTACCATCACTCTCAATATGAAATAAGACTGCGCCTAGACCTATCTTTAAAGCCTCAGTTGCAATGCCTACTCGTAGATCCGGATTATAAAATTAACGTAGGCAGAAAACCTATCAGCTTTGAAGCTTTCTTGATGTGTACTATCCCATAACCATTTGTCTTTATTAACTATTTTGTATAAGGGACTAGCTTCCGCAAAATTACATAGAAATATTCGATAATAACTTGCCATCCCCAAAAAAGTTGCCAATTCCTCTTTTGTCTTAGGTTCCGGTATGTTAGAAATAGCTTTATTCTTATCTGCATTAGGATGTATATTGTCGTCTATATCATGCCCCAAGAACCGTAGATTTTTCTTTAAAAATATACTTTTTGTAAAATCATCTTGTCAAATACCATTTTTATGCTATTCAAATGAGCTTCACCGTCATCCCCAGTAATAAGTAAATCATCGATATAAAATATAACATCTTTCATGTCCCCGAATATATTGTCCATGTTGGAATATTTCTGACGAAGTCTTTAATCCAAACGGAAGTCTTATAAACCTGTAATAGCCCCTGTGTGTTGTTATTGTGAGAAAATCTCTAAATTCTTTGTGTATAGGTACTTGAAGAAATGCGTTTTTAAAATCAATCTTTGTAAATTTTCTACCTTAAGATAATTTTGCAATTAAATCATTGCTGCATGGTATTGGGTACTTAAAATCTTCTAAAGGGTTTATAGTTTTTTTGAAGTCAGCACAGAGCCGAAGTGAGCCATCGCTCTTAAAAACGGGAGTGAGAGGACTTAGCCCATCTAACATCTTCAACAGTTTCAATGATTTTGTCGTTTATCCACTTTTAAAGTTCTTTTGTTATCAAATCAATTCTTGAATATGGTATACGCCTTGGTGGTATGATTTTCGGTATGGCATCTTGTTTTAAACGTAATTTGGCATAGCTGCAAAGTATTGGATTTTTGGCATTGCTTAATTAATTCTTGAATGGTAATATCATAATCTTCCTCGACTAGATTCACAAATTTATTTAGTATACTTCCGAAAACTGTTATCCATGTCCTTTCCAAAAGTGCAATTTTCTCACTTTGGACCACATAAGCATTTAAGATTTGAGTTTTGTCCTCGAATTTTGCCTTGACTTGGACAGTACCTAACACTTTTATCATTTTTCCATAGTATCCAGTTAATCTTGTGTCCGATTTATTTAAGATTTTTATTTCAATCTTTTTGCAATATGAATCGGTAGGGTGCTATATCTAGAACCTGTATTTGCATTAATATTGGCACTTCATTCAAATATACTGTAACTTTATATGCATCATTAGCTGTGTTATCGTTATAGGCATCCATATTGTTTATGTCCAAATTATATAAATTATATTCTTTTTTCTCTAATTTATCATTATCATCTTTTTTTATCTCTTCTATATTTACCGTGTTGACTTTGTTTGCGTATCGTGATTGATTATTATTGTTGTTATGATATCTACATTGCATACTTGATTTCTTCCTTGATTTCCAATATTATGATTATTGTTATTTTTGAGATACTCTTTTATTTTCCAAAATTCAAACTTTTATTTTCTTTTTAAAACCAATAAAAAAAAATCAATAATATATTTAATACATTAAAAAAATCAATAATATTTTAATAATAATAAATAAAAAAAACATATGCCTAGAACACCTCCCTTATTTTTAAGAGGCGTTCTCAGGTTACTACATATATATAAAAAAACTACTTTTCATAATATTATTCATTATCTTCATTTATTCCCATATAGGCAAATTCCTGCTGAAACTCCTCAGCTCCATTAATCTTGGAGGGTTTTTTCCTTGTGAATATTGTCTTTTTCATCAGCGTCTTCCTCACTCCAAAACTTTTATTTCTATTCATAACAAGAGTCAACGGTGCTTGCCTTCCTCTGATTGCAGTAGATCGATCCAGAATTGGGTTAGAATGATCAGAATGCACATTGTTAACAAATTTACTTGTATTATTATCATTATTGTTTATAACAAATGTATTGTTGGGACATTGAGCCGCTTTATGCCCCTCAGTTCCACAAGCAAAGCAAGTTAGACGGAATATGGGTTTGTTGAATAATTGTTGAACATTCATGATCCTTGATCTATGAAAAGATGGTTGCACATTTATTGTTGGTTGGTTTGGTGACTGACCATTTCTCCCAAGTTCCTCCTTTCTATTTGCCAGTTCAGTCCATGCACAGTCTAAAGCAGTCCCTGCTTACGCTTCATTGATCTGCAGGATACTAGATTTTAAGTTAACGTAATACGTATTCATATTATCAAACAATTTTTAATTAATAAAATTATTTACTAAACATCATTAACTTTTCTTATTCATTCCAACTCATATTTAATTATTATTTTCACAATAAACAATTAATTTGATAAACAAATAACATTTTTTAATCCACTCACCACCCTCATTATTTATTTCAAAACATATATTTTCCAAACTTCATTAAATCAACCTCTTGCTGCATAAATTTCATTTTTTCAATAATAATCCATAAGTTGTTTAATTTATTTTTTCTTTTTATCGATTCTTTACCAAATAAATTGATTTCTTATCTTAACATTCTATCAATTTAAAAAGTTAACACAATCTACATTACTATAAAATAATTTCCCTTTTCAACTTTTCCTTTTATCTCTCAACTGTTTTATTTCCCTTTTCAACTTTTCCTTTTATCTCTCAACTGTTTTTTTTTAACACAAGAAAAAAAAACTATTAACCACGATATGCTTCACTTCACTTAAGAACAAATATTTAATAAAACAAAAGATGACCTACAATATACATTTTTGTTAAACCAAACGAATTATCAACATATTCAGTTATATTATCTCATATACTAAGACAATTCTTACTTTTACCTTTACATACTTCTAATTATTCAATTATATATATACATATATACCAAACTATATCTCAGTTTTTTTTCTTATGATCCTTAAACAAATATTTTAATAATCATAACTCGAAATGAACCGAACAAATATTTTAATAATCACAACTCGAAATGAACTAAGCAATCCATATTCCTTTTACCCCACCAATCTTATACAATTTAACACACTTACCCAAAATAATTAAAAATACCTATATCTATATATATCCAATTTCACTTCTAATTTTCTCTATTTCTTTCCCGTGGACTAAGCGACCCATATCTTTTTTACCCCACCAATTTTATAATACCCCTCAAAATTTACCTCCTTCTACCACACTTTCAATCCTAAATTTTTTTCTTACTAATTTCGCTGGTATAATCTCTAACACCGGATATTTATCTCTTTCAAACTTTCTTTCCTCCGACTGATTAATATCCAAATATTTTCTTGTATACTCAAATTTTTTCCTTACTAATTTCACCGGAAAATTTTGTGATGCAGGTAATTTCTCCCTTTCTAAATTTGAGTCTTTATAAATTTCATCACCACTCATATAACTATCCTCCAACCCCAATTCCCTTGAAATCAACTTTTTGTCTACCTCAAAATTAAAATTTTCATCACTTGTTTCCAAAATATTATCCATTTCTACATCAACAGACATATTATCAATATCCAAATCAATATTTTCCTCAATTCCTGAATCATACATTATACCTCTAGGATTTTTATTATTCACACAATCAGGTTCCTCCTGATCCATTTTTTCATTTATAATTACTTCCTCCTGAATTTCCTCAGAATTATTTCTCGAATTTTTAATTTCCTCGATTTTTAATACAATTTCCGAAATTCCATTTATTTCATTATCACAACTTTCCTGATTATCATTTTCCATATTCTCCATTTTATTATTCTCCAAAATTTCATTTTCCACCAATTTATTTTCCGAATTTTTAATATCCACCTCCTTTACGGATGTTTCTAACTTTTCAATGCTTTTATCATCCATTTTCCCTTGAAATATATTCAAAAATTTACTTTCTAATCCAAATTTCGATATCCAATTCCATCCCAAAATCGCACCCACCTCTTCTTTTATTATCCACAAATCCAAGAATTGCATTTCCCCATTCATTAACACCGGCAAATTCACTTTCCCCAAAACCGAAATAACAGTTCCATTTAAATGCTTAATTATCATTTTATCATTTATTAATCGCTCATTCGGCCATAAATTCGAAAATTCCCTATACCCCATTACCGATATAGTTGCTCCCGTATCTAACAACATTATAATTTCCTTATTTCCCACATTAATTTTCACACGCGGACATTCATCATAATTAATATCTTTTTTCATCGAAACTGGCATAACACAAATTTGTATATTCGCCCTGGGCCACTCATTCCCCTTATTTTTCATCACTAATTCATTACTATTTTTCTTTTCTTCAATTCCCAAATTATTTTCAATATTTAGTACATTCCCTAATAATAAAATTTTTCCCTTGTCTACTGGGTTTTCCGATGTAATAACCCCACATATTGATTCCTGTCCACCATATAGTCATGTGACCGGACAATCTCTCGCATAATGTCCAATGTTACGACACTTGAAACATGTTACATCTTCGACCTTCCTTTTTTCATAGATATTATTTTCCCCTTTTTTTATATATTCTACCGCCGGAAATGCTTTAGAATCTTCTTGTTGATTCTTAAAACACTTATCATGACCATGACCAAAATTTCCACAATTTCCACAAGCTTTTTGAATTTCATTCACCAATTTATACGTAGGAACATAACATTCCTCAGTTTTATGCCCTTTATTTCCACACCTTTTCCAAATTATAGTTAACACATTTGGATTTCTCCTTTCATTACATCCTCTACTTATATGTCCAAACTTCCCACAATTATAACACTTTTTATTTTCCCTTTCATCATTCCCATACACTCCTTTTCCTTCACTTTTCTTTTACAATTCTTCTATTTTAATTTTCATTTCTGTCATTTCTGTTCTCAACATCTCTTTTTCCCTTTCAATCAACTCTATTTTTTCCCTTTTCCTCCTTTCTTCCATTTCTTTTTTCTCTATCTCTTTCCTTTCATTTTCCCATTCTTCCCTCATTTCTCTTCTTATTTCTTCAATATTAATCTACATTTTTTTTATGTTCCATTTTTCCAATTTCATTTTCCTTTTTTTTTTCATTTTCTCCAATTTTTCCATTTTCTCTTTTTTCAGACTCTCTAACGAAATCTGTTTTATTAATATCAATTTCACATACCTTTTTTTCAGAATCTCTGACGATATCTGTTTTTAATAATTCCTTTTTTTCATTTTCATTTTTCACCATATATATTTCATTAAATAAATTTTCAATATCCCTCTTAAATTATTCAATTTTTTTATTTTTCTCCCTTTCCACTTGCTCTAACATTCTTACTCGATTTATATCTTTATTTCCATTTCTTTTCTTATACCAAAAATATATTATAACCCATAATATAAAAACCACTAATATTCCAAAATACATTTTGCTCAACATTTTTGACCTCAAAATAATTGTTGGTCTTAATATTTTTGCGATTTAGCATTTCCTTAAAATTATTTTTAATTTAAACTCTTAATTTTCAAATTTCAAATTCTTTAATTCTATAATAAACTTATCAATAACTTTATCAAAAAATTTTTAACTGACTTAAATGATAAAATATACAATATCGAAATTATTACGAAAATCCCTAATACACAATAATACATAAAATTTCAACAAAAATATAAACTTTTACCTTATTTTTACGAATTTCCTTTTTCCTTTTTATAAATCTTTGGCCTGTTTCGTAATAGTAGTCATTGTTGTTCCGAATTAATTTTTTTTTATACATGTATCTTTTAAATTAGAGGCACCACTTTTGAGACACTCTTTTATTTTCCAAAATTCAAACTTTTATTTTCTTTTTAAAACCAATAAAAAAAAATCAATAATATATTTAATACATTAAAAAAATCAATAATGTTTTAATAATAATAAATAAAAAAAACATATGCCTAGAACAGTTATGTCTTAATAAATCTTGAATCGTTATAATGTCTGTTATATCTGTAATTATAATCATTATTAAATCTAAAGTTATTTTAGTTATTGTTATTATAACTAGTACAATTATCAAATCTTAAAAAATTATTGTACGATCCTGGGTAGTTTGCCCTGACGTTGTTGTAATAACTCGTTTATAGTTTTGATATAGGGTTGTAACTTTTTCCTTGATAATTATTTCTTTGAAAGTCATGGCCTCTGGTTGTCCATCGTTGTCTATCGTAATTAGATTGTAAATTTTGTCTTTCGTCATGGTCTCCATATCTCACCATCTGTTTGTTTTCTTCTGTTTTTTTTACCTCTTTGCCTTTCTAAATGTTTCACGGTTGTTTCATCTTCTGTTTTTCGTGTAAGGATATATTTTTAACTTTAGCAATTATATTTTCTTTTAATTCTAACTCCTCAAAAGTAAGAACTTCTGTTAATGTAATGTTTTCCTCTAACGAATTTTATAATTTATAATTAGAAGAGAAGCATATACTTCTTAAAAAGGTATTAAAGATACCTATGAATAATAGATTTATATTCCATCCCTCAATTTTCAGTATCCACAAACTTTATCTGCTAATCGAAATTTAAAATTTCAAAACATCTATTTTACTAGATGGAAATGTCTAACATACTCTATCCTAGACAATGGAGCTTATTAGATATGCTGTTTGGCCCAAGATATACTAGAAGAAATTCAGTTAAGCTTAACAGTCTTGTTACTCCATTCAACATGTACAAAGATGCTGGAGAAATCTTTGACAATCATCAAAAAACAAATTATCAAACGCTATGAACTAAAGATTTTTTCATAATTCAAATTGGGAATATGATTCCCATTTCATTACATTTGACAAAAATAGGATTAAAATAGCAAATGAAAATAGATGTAAAATCAAACAAACTATTGAGGTCATTCTATAATGTGTACTGCAGGGCCTAGAATTACAGGGCCATTTAGATTCAGGAAGCATGAATTTCAATAATAATGATAATGAAGGTAATTTACGTGGTCTTGTAAACTTTAAAACTTTAGCAGATTCTGCATTAATGGAATACCCCTAGTGAAAAAATGTTTTAAACAGGATTATTTCTGAAAATCCTTGTCCAACAAGATGAAAGAAATTGCAAAAGCTTGTCGAACGAGTTGTAGTCTTCGCCATCAAGCAGTAACAGCTTTATGGAGTTAGAAGAGTCGATTATTAATGCTCGTACTAAAATATCACAATGGCCTGAAAGTTTCCTCAGAAGCAAGCAAATTATTGGATTCAATACTTATACCATTTTTATTCTCATTAGAATGTATTAATAAATTATTTAATTATATAACTAATTTATATAATACTTTTCAAAAACATGACATTGACTTTATTGAGACGATGAGAATAGCGGAGAGAATTTTATTAGAACTCAAGGAAATTAGGGCTAATGTTGATGAAGAGTTTCATATTTTGTATGTTATTGTTGAGTCTAAAGTAGAGCTACTAGTTTTATATTTGTCTTCCTTGACTTGCAGCAAGGCAAGATCGTCTATACATTAATATAGGATAAGTAAAAGAGTATTATAAAATAAATGTCTTTATCCTTCTCTTAGAAACATTTATAACCCAAATAAATGAACGGTTTTTATTTCACCAGGCAGCACTTACCAATCTGCAGATATTACTTCCACAAGCCTTCCTAACTTCAGGATAGAAAAAAAATAAAATATTTAATAGATTTTTATCATGAAGATGTTAATCTTATGATGCCTTATTAGCTGAATGCCAACTATGGTATAAAAGATGGTTGATATAGTCCAAAAAAATGCTATGGATTAATTGCATCATTTCAAGATCTTTTAGATTATGAACTGCTCACCAAGACCAGGCTAATATTAAAAAATTGGATAACCTGAATGTTAAATCCGCCATACGTCTGGCAACCTCCAAGGCTCCCTACGATCCGGCAACTTATCAGGCTCTTCTCCTAAAACACCACTCACACGATTTTAAAAACGAAATACCTACTTACCCTGAAGCTCCTCTAATAGCGGCCACTTATACCGCAAGCGACGTTAGAAAGGCTATTCTCTCCTTCAAACGCGATTCCTTACCTGGGTTCGGTGTTTCGCCCAATATTCCTACAGGACCTAACCGCACCTTACATAACACAACTATGTGACGTTTTAGTAAAAATTACCCAATTTATCAACCGTATGCAAACTGGAGGCATACCACCCACCATTATTCCACTGCTATGAGGAGCTAAACTTATCGCTCTCCATAAATCCAATAAAGATATTCGCCAAATCGCTATTGGAACCACTTGGCGCCGATTAACCGCCAAGCTAGTAGTTAGCACGAATCAATTAGGGGTCAACGTAAAAGGTGGATGTGAGATATCCCTTCACATGACCCGGATGTATCTGCAAACGGACCCCACCAACGATATCCTAGTCAAAATAGACTTCTCGAATGCCTTTAACTCTTTAAAGCGTGGAGCCTTTCTAAATCCTATCCTCACCTTCTACCCAGAATACTCACAATTCATCTTCGATTGCTAGTCCCTCGCATCTTCAATTCGGAGATAGATTGATTCCTTCTTGCGATGGGATACAACAAGGTGACCCTCTAGATTCCTTTTTGTTCTGTCTGGGCATTAATAGTCTAATATGAGACTTAATGACCAATGCAAGCTAAATCTTCATAACTGGTATATCGACGATGGTATACTAGGCGGCCCACCTACTGAAGTTATGAAGGCAACCTAAATAGCGGATATTGTCCTCTTGGGATTATCGACCTTAACCACGATACTATGTTCAATCATACACCATTGAACGCTTTAACACATCTCGGATCTCCAGTAGGTAAAGACGAGTTAAGTTCTTCGCCGATATTTTACGAATATCCCTTATGAGCTATACACTATCTCGCCTCCCAGCTCGCTAGGCTTTCTTCTTATTAAAGAACTATCTTCTAATATCAAGAATTTTATATACACTCCGATCGTCACGAATCTTTCAATGCGACTCAAGCTCGCTGCACACGGAGATTAAACGCCTCACAGAAGAAATAGGGGACCTATCTTGGTTACAGCTACCTTACCAACCAAATCAGGCGGCATTGGTATAAGGTCACCATCTCTACTTTCCGATAGTGCGTTCATATCCGCTCGCCTGTCCTGCGAGCCCATCATACAACACTCACAAAACATCCTGATCCCTTACTACAATCAATTGATCTGTGGAAGTCCTTCTCATTAGTCGATCCTCCATCGTCGGCATTACAGAAGGATTGGGATAAACCTCTAGTTGGCAACTCCGTTGCATACCTTAAATCGAGGAGCCAACCCGAGGACCATTCTCTACTCTTCTCCATTCCCACAGATAGTGGATACGAATTTGTTGAGGCTTTCCCATCGCGAAACCTTGACCAGCTTTCAAGCAATGATGAACTACGTCACGCCATCTTAGACTTAATTGTGATATGGTAATGACTTATCACTGTATCCTCTGTCAAATCTAAGCCGTCACTCTCTACACTGCAAGAGCTGTAGAGGCAGATTCATTAGACATTCAAAATGCAATGTCTCATCAACCCTCAAACCTATTGACCTTTACAATTCCGATGGTAAGAGGCCCGATGGTTCGATTATGATCCCTTGGAAGAGGGGGGGATTCCAAACCTGGAATTTCTCATGCAGCGAACCTCTTGCCCCTTCCAATATAAATAGAGATGCCATCCTAGATGCCAAGGCAGATAAACTAGCTAAATATTAGCCATCGCTTTCCGCCAATTATACATTCCTACCATTAATCGTCACGACTCTAACATCGTTCGGCTCTCATGCCCTGGCCTTCTTTAAAGAGCTGGGAAAACGGATCTCTGCTAGAACCGAGGATCCCAACGAGGGATTCTACCTATGCCATAGATTAGCCATAAACATAATAAAATACAACTATCTCAGTTTTTTTCTTTCAATATCCAAAACCCCCTAATTGAACATCCTATGCATAGGATAGACTTTGGCTATTTTGCTCCCAATTATAATGTTAAGGTGAACTTGTCTCTCAATCAATAAAAGATAGCAAGAACTAATGACTTTATATAATTGTGATTTACTAATATTATATATTTTTTTCTTACTAGTATAACTTACCTTGTAATTAAACTTAAAATTTTGCATGTCAAAATTTTTTTTGATACCTAATATATCGACTAAAATGGTCGATTTTTTTGAAATCAACTGTATTATCATCTTCTTTATCATGCATATGGTCCCACAGTCGTGGGGTTTGTTTTGATAAGTTTCTTCCATCTTGATCGAGTAAGGGCCATGTCCGGATTTATCTTCTTAGTCATCATAACTTTGTCTACTTGACCTTTCCACGTAACACGAGGTCGTCCTCTTCCTCTCTTCCCCGGCACCTCCATGTCCAATACTTTTCGATTTACATCATTCGTCTCCCTTATGATTTTCGTTTATCAAGTCCGCCATAGGTTGAATATCCATTTTTGCTCTGAGACAGTCATTAGTCATATGGTCGAGTTTAGTATACCCCAAGCTCCACCGTATCATTCTCATCTCCGTGGTTTGTAATAACTTTTCTTCCGTAGCGTTTAATTCCCATATTTCACTTCCATAGAGTAACACCGGTCTTACGATGGATTTGTAAGCTTTATTTTCAACCATATTGGCATCTTCTTGTCACACATTACACCGGATATACTTGGGAATTTAAACCTCCTTTTTGAA